AGAGACACTGACAGACTTGACTGTACATGAGCAGTCACATTTGATTAAATTCTTGCTCGTATGATATACTGCCTGCCAACCATATTATCAACCATATCCAGTTCTTTCTTACGAAGCAACGAAATCACTCAGAGGAAAGGAAATGCTTGCGTGAGGAATGCTAACCAAGCCTAGTCTACAAATGGTGAACATTTGGTGAATTCATTTAGAATTCCTCTTTTGAATTCATTCTACAAAAAGTGAAATTTAACTTTGTCAGTTCAGGAAAGAGGGAAAAACAATGTATAACCCAGTATGAACACTAAATGGTTACATAAAGTGACAAATTCATTATAGGAGATTTTCACATCTGTTTAATAGGTAGTATCTTTTGGAGGCCAATATAAGTTTTACATAAGAGCAATAAGTTTGACATTATACTATTTACAGTTACAAAGTAACACACTATTCAGTTAGTTTGAATATACTGTATACATTTATTCAAGATAAAGGTAAATTTGTGTCATGTATGAAAGTTGTTCAATAGTTTGTGGAAGTGGCAGATGCACCTAACAGTTCATAATGCACTGTTAAGTATACCAGATTGGATTTAAAAACAGCGCCATGTGGTGGTCATGACAGGAATTACCCTACTGCGAATCATCTCCCCAACCCTCATCTGAGAAAATATCAGCCTGTCGTTGTTTGAAATTGTTTCTGAAATCCTCATCAAAGTGCTCCAGGTCATCTTCTTTGAAAATACCCTAGAAAACAAGGAAAATAAGAAAACATACAAATGCTGCATTACAAAAAAATACATTCTCTAAGTAATGAGTCTGATCACGTGAGAAATGTGTGTGAGTGTCTGCACTATGGTGTGGTGTTCTCACCTTTGGTAGGTATCCCAGCAGTTTCGTTGCATGCTGTTTTAGGAGCCTCTGTCTCTCCTCTTCAATGATCTTTCGCCGCTGAGCCTCTCTCTCCTTCTCAATAGCTCGCTCCTCTTCCTCCCTCTCCTGTTGAATATTTAGATTCATTCATTCCATGTCATCTGTACTATCAGCGGTTATTGGTATAGTCTGAATCAGAAGCAACTAATGGATCTAATGTCTGCACAGTTGCATGCTTGATTTGTGGCTTTGAGTCTTACTTGTTCAGCCAGATACTGCTGTCTCCTTTCTTCCAGCAGCTTCTCCACAGCCCGTTTGTGTTCCAACTGTTTCATACGGCGCTTCTGGGCATTCATCTGCTCAATGCGGTCATCCTCAGCAAACTTGACCATCATCATCTGTCTAAAGGCCTCCTCTTCCTCTTTCTCAGCTTGTATGCGCAACAGCTTGAAGGCCATCATCTCCTGACACGTCTGCTGCAGCTCTAGCCGCTGCCGGATCCTCTTCTCCATCTCTTCCTGTAAGTGACATGATGGTAAAGAAATAGTAAATGTACATGGTCCTGAAATATGCTTAATTTTCTTGGTTAACTGAAATATGACTGGGACTTTTTCTAGATAGGCATCATAAGGTTAGTGTTGCCAGGGTCGCGGTTTTCCCGCACAATTGGGCTATTTTAAAAATGTCACAGGAAAAATTGTTGTGTTGTGTGTTTTTGGGCCACTTTTATAATCTACCGCAGCCACCAAATGCAGGGGTTAAAGCAAAAAAAAAATCCTGAGCCTGAACTTTTTTCTGTGGATGGGCCAGCACATGCAAAGCATGCAATGACTGTGGCAACTTTAACATTTGAAAGGATACTATGGCAAAGTTATTGCTTTCCTTATTCAAACTAATTTTTTTTTCATGAATATATGGTTGACCTGAAGAATGAAAGCGTACAATCATACACTTGGAAAATTATGAGCTATATCACCGCTTATCGACACTAGGGGTGTGACAATACACTTAGCTCACGAGATGAGACAAAATACAGATACTTGGTTCACTAGAACGAGACAATATTTTAATACTATTTTTAAGAAATCTTCAATGACAAAATATGTCTTTTAATTACAAAAAGTAAAACAATGCAGTTGTATTTTGAAATATTTTAACTAATCTAGGGCTGTAACTAATGGTTATTTTGGTAATCAAGTAATCTACTGATTATTTTGACAATTCAATTGAGTAATCTGATATTTTTAGTAACAAAAACAGACCTAAGTGAAAACCAGGCTTTAGTATGACTATTTATATATAAACTAACAATGAGGCAATAATAATTGGCTCAAATAAAATATCAAAATTTGTTGGCAAAGGTTTATAAATGATTTATGTTACAAATCTAGTGAGATAATGCACACTGTTTTCCCAAATGAACGTTAAGCAATTCAAATTCACAGCATATGCAGAGGAAGAGTTTAGCC